AAACGTACAGATCAGACGCAGTAGCATACTGGAGCGTTGCATACGACAGTAGGAGAGCTTGAATCACCGAGCATGACAGAGTAAGCCACCAGCTGTGTAGAAAACAAGTGAGCAAGAGAACTGTTAATGCAATACGATCACTCACGTATATGACTTTATCTTGTCGATTTCTCCTTCCTTTCGCATCTTTTGGAATGGAGGGTACCAAGAACAAACTAGCTGCGCACAAACGTTGGTAACACCCAAGCCAGCAGCTGAAAGTGTAACGTACATGTATAACAGTGCTTGCGCAAATATAAGGACTCAGCCCGAGGTGGAAGAACGATATCTTCGGCTCTTTGAGAAAAGCCCCTTCACTTGCTGGAAAAAAGAAGGGCACTTGATGTTAAGAGGATCAAAAAAAAAAAAAAAAAAAAAAGTTCTATGGCCTTACCTGTAAGAGCGGTGGAGCCGAGAAAATTCGATGGCATTGTCCTGTGATTAAAACCGGGAAGAGGAACAAATTGACCAGCTCTGCAGACCATAAGGAGGATTATGGTGATGAAAGTGCGACGACGTACTTCACTCTTGAAAAAAGCCATGGCCGCGTCATTGATCACCGAGCCCAGCTTCACCCATCGAATAAACTTGTTGCTATAGCTCCGCGGTACGTGCTTGATAGACTCCCCTGATAATAAGCTCTCTCCTTCTTCTTCTTCTCCTCCCAGATTATTGGAAGATACTTCATCCGGAGAAATATCAATCTGCGAAGGAATCAATCCAGGAGAAATCCCTCCATGCCTGATGCCCGGCTCGGCTGAAGCGCACACTCCTCTCCACGAAGGATTGGAAATTCTCGCTCGCAATGCCAAGACTCTCGCTTGAGAAGAACAGCCCAATGCCGCTGGCGACGGCGAAAACAGAGTGAAAAATCTAATCGCAATCGCATTCGAGGAAGAGATGCCGCTGCTCCTCCTCGAGGAGAGAATTCGCACGCCCGGTACGAATGGCGCCCTGGAGCAATCCATCCAATAAAGAACCCTAAATTTCTTCACACAAGAAAAAGTATCGTATATTCACAGCAATGTACAAAGAAGCACAACGTTTGCCACGAAGTTCACCTAGTTGCGGGAAACCTACTGACGAAGAAGCGAACAATTGGAAGCCTGCCAAGGAATTGACGATGAGAAAGAGAGATGTAGAGACAAAGAGCATATCAACTTACGAGCAGCTGTTGGCCAGGTAGAAAATGGGAAGACGAGGGAAGAGAGAAGAATCGCGTTTTACACGGGCTATCGATTTTTCGGGATCTGACGCAGTCGCAATGAGTACAAACTGGATCACGCAAAAACCAGAAGCTCGATCAGAGTTTTGTCTGGAGAAGATTCTCGGTTGCTTACCAATGGATAGAGGATGGCGGTGACGCCGGTGCTCACCAGAGGTGAAAAGAAAAACGTCGCTAATACGCAAGGACTACCTGGATGACGGAAAAATCAAGCTCTGGTTAAGAAGTAGCATCGACAACACAAGCAAAGGTTTTTACCAAATCCAGAGAAGAAGGCCCAGTTTGTCTCAAAGAAGACCAGCCGCCTCTCGAGACTCCACTGAGCTAGGCCCCATTTGTACCTGGACAAGATTGCTAAGAAACTGGTCGGAAAGAACTTTGACATCTTACTCAAAGCAATAGTAAGCATAAAGCCAGGACAGGAGAACGAAGTACAAGAGTTGCCCGACATACGGAATGAAACTTGCAACGAATGCCTGTTTGAAAGTTCCAATCTTGTTAAAGAACTAGATTCCCGGCACAAACAAGACTTACTTCGGCAAAAAAGGCACCGATGACGATGACCGAGTACAAGTTCTCACCGATTCCACGAGTGAAACTGGACCTAGAGCATGAAAACTAAACCATCCTTGATTGAGTGAATGGATTTCTTCACTCACCTGTCAAAGGCTGCGGCGGTAGAAGAAGTACCTGTTGATGGCCTCGACGTCGGCTCATTCATAGTCTTCTTTACTTCGTGAAAGACGTGTTGAGCGATTTCGTTGGAGTGAATACAGTTGATCACAAAGCTTATCACGTAGATCGGATAGAGCCAGAGTACCTGGAAGACACAATGAAAAGAAAACTAGCGCTAGAGCTCGCCGAGAATGAAATCAAGCTTACATAGTACAGCGCGATCAGGAAAGACTGGAGCTTCGGCACTGGCCTGGCCGATCCATCGTCGACATGCGCCTCAAAATCGAGCAGCCAGCTCAAAGCCGGAATAATCGCTTTCTGGAGAACCAAGACACTGCGGAAACTCGTCAGAAAAGATTTCACGACAAAATATTTCGACAAAGCGAAAACCTTCCAAGAACGAGCAGGCCATTGAGGAAGCACTGCCCCGTTTTCTTCCGAACTACGCCAGACCTGCAAAGCGGAGAGGAAATTTCAGCTCGATTCCCGAGAAATCGCGCTACCTCCGGCAGATGAGAAATGCGCGGTCGAATCGGCAAGCGTCCATACATCCCGCCAGCCAGAGCATCAGTAATGCGATCCACGGCGACGTCGGCGCGGCGGAGGCGCGCTCTCCCCGCGACGGAGCCATGACAGCGAAACCCTATGCCCGACCTAAAAACTAGCTAGCTTTGCGAAGGTTTTTGTCCACGTCGCTCATGTCATAGGCCTGCATTCTCGCCACGTCATAAAAGTATGACACGTGTCGACACGTGTAATTCCATTCCATCGATCACGGAGGATTGATCTTGAGCCTTCGCAGGAGCTGGAAATTCGGTGGCTGCTGCGCTGCGGCGTAGACATTGATGATCGCGTTGCAAAGAGTGGAATCGCCGCGGTTGCGATACATGGCAATGAGCTTCTCGGCGCTTCCCACGTCTCTTCTCGCCGCGAAGACGCGCAAGAGCTTGATCGTCGTCAGGTAACCCAAGCTCGAATCGATCTGCCGCTTCTCCCATCCCTCTTCCAGCAGCTGCAAAGCTATGGCGATGTCGTTCCGCGCGAGATATCCCAGGATCAAGGAGTTGAATGGCTGGAACACCGAGTTGTCCGTCTTTCTTCGCAGCGTCTCCTCGGCCCTGTCGAGCAATCCTACCCTCGCGTAGACTTCGATGATCCCGTGATATGGATTGATCCCATACCTCACACTCTTGCTCGCGATCGTTTCTTCCAGCACCACCTCCGCCTTCTCGACTTCTCCGACCAGTCCGAAAGCTTTGATCGCGGCAGCGTAGCTATCGTGGAGGAGACGCGGTGATCTTTGCTTTACGATGCTCCAGATTGCTCCCACACTGTCCGGATCATGCAAGTAGCCATGGATCTCCATCAAGTTTGCCAAATCCTGCAAGAGCGAGCAAGAGTTGTGATCACGTAAGTTCCAAGCTGATGACTAACGTACCCTTTCATTCGCAGTGCTGAGGTCCACACTCTTCGCAGCTGCCAGTGCTTCTCTTTCGAGTCCTCCGAGACCTCCAATTCTCTCCTTGCACTTGAGAAGCGTCAAGTAAGTGTGAAGCATTGGCTTGATGCCCGAGTACCTCAATCTCTGGTAGGACGCAAGAGCTCGGTCGTGGAAATCCTTGGAGAAGTAGAGAGAGATCATCGCGTCCTCCACCTCGGGAGAGATTGTGGTGAGTTGCTGCTTGTAAACTTCCGCTCGGCTCCAGGACTTTTGCTTGGCCAAGCTGATGACAAAGGCAGCGATGAGCTCCTCGGTTTTCATGGACTCCGGGAGGCTCAAGAAGATCACTTCAGCTGGAATAGGAGCGTGCTGCCGACAGAGTAGCGTAAGCTCTTTGATGCAATTCTTCACGCTCAGCTCCACAACGTTGTTCTCTCGAACGAGTTTGAGCACCTAGCTAGAAAAAATCTTCTCATTCAAGCAATGAAACTAGGAAATTTCTTTCTTTCTCACCTTGAGAGCTTCCTTGTAGCGATTGCGCCCAGTGAGATGATCGAAGATGCTCCCCACGAAATCTGGCGTGAGAGCATTCCCACGAGACATCCAATCGGCCACAGCTTCCTCGCATTGCCCGCGTCTGGCATCCAGAGCGTCGAACAAGCAAGCCAAATCCCCCTCGCTCGATCCGGAGCAGTATCTTGAGAGGATTACAGTCCTGCTAGCGTGGATCACTGGCGCGCGCAAGCCATAGCCTGCCGCTCGCCGCATAAACCCTAGCACTGCCTCGCGTAGGTTACTTTCTTTGACTGGAAAAATATTTTGCCCACGAGGAGCGATGGCGGCGGCGTCTTTACTCGATCGAGAGAGAAGCGACAGCAGCGATTTCGCGTCGCCACTGGCACTCAAGCTCCAGCAGGTATGGCTCCAATCTCAGCTCCGCAAGAAACCTAGCTTGGATTCTTCAGCGTCGAGCAGCGGTTCGTCGGAGAATCCACCGGAATCGCAGGGATTCGACGCCGGCACTCCAAATGGGGGCGAGATCGACGAGGATCTATGCAGCATTCTCAATCTTCTCATGGACGACAGTGATCAGCGCGAAGATCGAAGCATTACTCCAGAGCAAGGTCATGGCGTTGACAAAAGCAGCGATTTGGAGGTACTGGAGCACGAGCTCATGGAGTTGATCGGCTTGGAGGAGCCGGATCCTGGCGAGCAGGATTCTTCGCAGCTGCTTCCAGAGGAAGAACCAGATCTCTCCAGCAGTGACTTTGGTGGTTTCGCAACGATGAGATGCTCGCTCTCCACGAACGTCCTCGACAATCCAGAGTGCGATGTAACTTTCGACGCTAGTGAGGACGAAGACTCAAGCATGGTGATCCAGCCAGAGGTCGCATGGATGATCGACAGCCCGGTGGGACTCCAGTGGCCAAAGCCATCGCCAAAATACCAGCACGAAGAAGACCTCCAGCAGCAGCCACCATCTCTACTCGCCACTGGCAAAGGAACTTACTACCAAGTCTTGGAGAGTGTGGGACTGCCAAGCTTGGATCTTGTCGAGCAGCTCGTCGAGTGTGCTCGAGCGGTCTCTTCCCATGACGTGATGCGAGCCAACCTCTTGGTGGAGGAGATCCGGAGCAAAGTGTCGCCACTTGGAACCTCCACGCAGCGGATCGTCTACTACTTCGTCGAGGCTTTGGTGGCGAGGGTGTCCGCCACAGGGAATGGCCTCTTCACGGCAATGTGTCACGCGAGGCCAACCGCGGGAGCGATGCTCAAGTCGGTCGAGTACATCATGGAACGAAGCCCGTTCTTGTCCGTGAGATACTTCTTCCCGAATCAAGTCATCCTCAACGCGTGTAGAGGTCACCAGCGGATTCACATTGTCGACTATGGTGCCTGTTTCGGGTTCCAGTGGCCGGCTCTGATGCAAGAACTGGCGAATACTCCGGGTGGTCCTCCGTATCTGCGCATCACCGGCATCGATTCTCCATTACCAGGGGGTGGCAGCGCCAGCGACGTGGGGTGCATGCTCCGGGAGTATGCGCAGTCGATCGGGCTGCCTTTCAAGTTCCGGGCCGTGTCGAAGAAGTGGGAGAACATCGACGCTGCGACGCTGCTCCTGAGCGACGATGAAGTTCTAGCCGTCAACTGTATGTTCCGGCAGACCAACTTGCTTGACGAATCCGTTCTCGCCGAGAGCCCGAGGAAAATGTGGCTCAACCGGGTGCGGAGCTTGAATCCCAGGGTGTTCATCCAGGGGATGAACAACGCGAGCTACAACGTCCCCTTCTTCATGACGCGGTTCCTCGAGGCGCTGACACATTTTGCGCTGCTCTTCGACGCCATCGATTGCTGCTCGCAGCCGGAGAGCAAGGAGCGGCACTTGCTGGAGCAGGAGAAGTACGGGCGGGAGATCGTCAACATCGTGGCGTGCGAGGGATTAGAGCGAGTGGAGCGAGCGGAGACTTACAAGCAGTGGCACTCGAGGACGCAGCGAGCCAAGTTTGAGCTGCTCAACATAAGCGACCAGGTGTTCCACGACACGGAATCGCTCATGGGTATGTATCACCAAAGCTTTGAGCTTCACAGGGACCAGGGGTGGCTGCTACTGGGATGGAAAGGCCAGATCCTCCATGCCTTCTCGGGATGGAGACCAAGCTCCAGCTAATGGGTGGTAGTGAGAGGTCCGGGAGTTTGCTCCATTCGGGAATATCTTCTAGATTATCAAGGTAAACTGTTGATCAAAGCTAAGGTGCTTGTCCATGGAACTTTCGTTATCACAAAGGCAAAATGTAGCCTGATTGACTTACAAGAAAATAAGAATGTTTATACCTATAAAAATCAATAAAAATGTCATTCATGATGCTTTTATGATAGTTAATGCCAATTTTATGCTTTTTTATTTTCTTCATCCATACCAAAAATATCAATAGCAATTACAAACAAAACTAAAACATCCTCAAGAATTATATGATTGTTGGATTATATATTCAATCTTTATTTCTGGAGAGAGCTATAACACTTTTTCTATTATGGAGCCTGTCACAGTGAAGTTTTCTCCAAATAAACAATATGAGTTATTATTACTCATTTACTAATTATATATCCATGGAAGAACATGTTATGAACTTACAGAAATAATGAGACAAAAGGATGATATGAAATTCATAAAATACTAAATAGAATAAGAACATCTGAACAAAATGAAGAAAATATAGAGATAATTAATAAAAAATAACAACAAATTGTACTTTATCAAGTAAAGCAACATAATGATAAAGTAAAACAAAATGTTCCAGGAAGCTTAATAATAATAAAAAGAAATAAAGATTGAGATACTCCAAATATAAAAACACAAGATGGCTTAGTATGAAATATAAATATATCTCAAAATAAAGAAATATTATGGATAAAATTTGAAAATGATATAGTAGGAAAACAATTATGTTCAAAAAGTTCCAAATAATATAATTCAAATCATGTTTAAATGAATACAAATAAAAAATTTAATAATTATACATTATCAAGAACACAATTTCTATACAACCAGCAGCAGCAAGAACAATACATAAAATAAAATGCTTTAATCTGCAATATTAGTACTATGATAGATTTATCCAACTAGGAACTAAAATTCATTATTGTGCATATACAGCTTCAACTGTGATACAAACATTATGAAAAACCTCAGCAATATTACATATGAGAGATATAGAACACAATCAAAATATAATAAAAAAACATTTAAACATAAAAAACTATAAATGTATAATACACATAACAACACAAAATATAGAAACACTAGTATTGCCCATCAAATGCTGGATGAGCACCAAAATCATTAATTTTATACAACTTTTTTCTTCTGATATATATATATATATATAGACACACACACACACACACACACACAATACTATATAACATAGACTATATATTTAGAACACTATTATATTCCCAAAGTGAAAAGAAGAATTACTAAGTAAATATTATTGATAAAGATATTATATGCAGTATTACTTGGGAATATGAATATATTTAGAATATTAAGATTATAAACTTAATACTCAACCCAGAAAAAATTAAAACAAAAATTGCTAAGAATAATGTCTTATGGATTTAAGAATAAATATATTTAGTACACTTCCATACAAAAAACAATAAAAGAAGAATTACTAAAAATAAATTTTATTAATTAGATGTTACATGTAAAGTATATTTTTACTTGGGATATGCAGAAATTTAGAATCCTAAAATGTTAACAAAACTAAAATATTACTACCCAGACTTATAGAAATGTAAAGAAAAATTACTAGGAATAATTATCATTAATTAGGGAAGCATTATATAAGTATTATTTTTTTACTTGGAATATGAATAAAAATATAACCAAGATTTAAGAACATTAATATACCCAAACATAACCTAAAAATAACAAATTAGAATCGAAATAAATTAATTTAATTTTAAGTAATATAGATATTAGTAAAGAATTACATTACCATTTGCTTTTCTTAGAATATAGAACAATAAAATTTTAAGAACACTAATCTACTACCTAGACCCAAGTAAAACTAAGAATTGATATAATTGTTATTAATATATAAATTATAAATTCAAAACTTGATATTCTATGTTCGTAAGATTTATAAACTTTGTTTATATGAAGACTAAGCTAACCCACACCTTTAGTATCAACCTCATGTTTGAAATGTAAATCTCATGTGTAGAGAGAGGCAATCCATATGGAATTGTTGTAATTACCCAATCAATACATCAATAGGATGACTTTATCTATCAACTAAACATATACATAAAGAAGAAAATTGTAGTGCCATCTTAATTATATTAACTGATTGAGGCAAGTTTAAGTTCAAATGAATTTTAATCATATTATCCAAGTTAGGAAACAATATTCTTGGCCCAATGGTTTCACCACATAAGAAACATCTTCTATATAATCACCAGCAAACTTAGTAGCCATGCTCTAAAGGAACCCCAAGAGTTGTTCCCACATAATCCCTCCAAGAGTTTTTTAGGACTTACCATTTGAATTTGTGGGTGTAGACTGGGTGCTGGGGTAGAGAATTGCTGGGGCATAAGCCATGGACAGTAGGCAACAAAAAATGTTGCTTTTTGTGGGTTTATAGCCAAGTTGCATTGCTTATCAATTTTTGTTGGCTCTAGAGAATTGAGTGCTAGTAGCAGATTGGATCAATCAATTTCCCATAGCACTCCACTATTGGATAGCCATAGCACTCCAATTGGTGCTCCACTGCTCCAGAGTGCTGGCCATAGCACTCCATTGTGGGAAAGAAGTGAGAACGCCTGCAAAAAGGATAGAAGAGAGCATATACATGAGTCAAGCACGGCAAACTTGACTTGCACATCCACAAACCCTAGAGCTCCTAAGCCTCCATCTTTAGTGCTGGGTGGCTACTAACCACCCCCATGGTGGTGTTGGTTGCCTCCTCTCCTACTTCTCCACAAAATTTGGAGCTCTTAAGTCTTCATCTTTAGTGTTGGGTGGCCACTGGATGTGTAATTGTTATTGTGCTCATTGCAATTTGACAGGAAATGTTTTATTTTGCAAGCAAAATAAGTGTTTAGTTTGTAAGGGAACTTGGACCACTGTCAAAGGGTAAGAGTTGTAAATTTAGCTTTTCTTCCTTTTGTGGGGAATCATTCTAGTTGTTTTGTGTTCCACCACTCTAAGTTGAAGCAAAAGTGTTTTCTATATGCCAATGCTACCAAGGAGGAGTAGCATATGGATTCACATATTTTGGATGACTGTCAAAGTCATATTAGGATTTCCAATCTCTTTTACTTCATTGAGGTGTACTTAATATGCTTTTAATTTACTCTCTTTCAAGCTTTTCTCTAATTTGATTGAGCAATTATTTAGTTTGTTCTGAAAGGAAGTTAAGATCATGGATATCACGAGCAAGTGCTCTGAAATCTCATTCTTCTTATAAATACTTCTTTTTAGATTACCTTTCACTCCTTAGATTGTAAAGGGGAATATTGTATATCTATTACCGTGTTTGGTATAGATAGTAACAATTTTATGCATAGGAACTATGCTCTTTAAAACTTTATTAGTAAAATTAATTGTTAGCCTATGCTTATATATTTTAAAGTCTGTTGGCATTGCTACTATGGCAAACCTAGTTATTATGCCTCATTCATGGAGTGAGTGGTACAAGATTTTGGTATGTAATGTATTCCCCTTGTATATTGGACTATCAATCACTTTTAGGAGTAAGCAGTTAGCTTCCTAATCAATTTCAATATAAAAATGGCTTTCCTCTAAAGACCAAACATCTAAGACATTTTTGTAAGAAACTAAATTTTTCATTCTAATTTAGTCACTTAACCACACGTCCAACCATTTAAAAGACTCTTATCCACAACCTCCATAAGTTTTATTCAAGATTTGGGGCTTGCTAGCCCCAAAAATGGCATCCATGCCACTCAGCTTTTGCACTTGGTCCAAGTGCTCCAAATGTTCGATCCCATAACTAACACTTAAAGGTATTGCTAACATATCAGCCCATTATTCTAAGGCCATGCATATTCACCTTTGTTACATTGGTGATACAACACCACTTACATCACAGTTCCATCTCTCAAAGATTGGGCCATCTGTCCATGAGTGGTCATTTTTAGCATCCTTAAAATGCTTGTAGACATGGGGAATAGCCTTCCCCAATATCCTTTCTTCAATCCCTACCAAGTCCCTTTCTATCCATGGCCGTATTTGCCAACACAGCCACTGGATCAAGGCCCACAGGCCCAACCACTAAGTCCTCTTATTCTCTAGGACTTCCTCACCATATGACTGTATCCTTGGTCATTACACCTGAGGACTACTCTTCTTCCTTTTCACTGTCCGGAACTTTGGGACAACATTTCGGAACACCATGGCTCTACACGAGCCTTATGGGTGTCAAGAATCCCCCAATTCTTGCCACATTCCTGAATCTTGCTAGATTCCTGACCCACAGACCACATTCTTGACTCTCGAGACACTTCCCTATTCTTGACTCTTGAGACACCTCCCTATTCCTGACTCTTAAGACACTTCCCTATTCCTAACTCTCGAGACACTTCCTTATTCCTGACTCTCTAATTTCTCATATGATTCCTGAGTCTTGAACCATATTCCTGATGATGATGTGGCACCTCCTCGACTTTAGCTATATTTAGGCCGTCCTCGATCCAAGAGTGGTGGAGCTTCATCAACCTATAGTATATATAGATTAGCCTTGTTTTATTTTTCCACAATCTGAATCAATGTTAGTCTAAGGCTTTTTTTTCGTTTCCACTAACTTTTCTCTTTATCTTCTACATTTTCTAGTCATGATCTTGTTGGGGGTCTTGACAGTTTGATTCAGATTGTGTTTGTTGCTTTTGCTTTAGCTCATTTTGATTGTTTGACTGCCTTTGCCTTTTTCCCTCTTTTCTTTCTTCTTTGCCGATGGAGTCTCCAAGCTATCCTGATTTCTTTGCCGAAGTCCTTGCAAAAATCTAGTCTGAGAATACCAAGCTGAAGGCGACCCTTCTTCACATGCAATAGGAGCTTGCTTCACTTTCGGCTCAAGGATCAAGCAGAGTTCCTGAACCAAAGGTGAGTTTCCCGGCGAAGTTTTCAGACAAGCGTTTGGAGCTTCGCGAATTCCTGAACCAGATGGAGCTGATCTTTGCACTTCAACATCAGCGGTACCCACTCCTGAGTCTCAAATTGGTGCGATCGGGACATTGTTCGAAGGTGTAGCTTTGTCATGGTTTTCTCCTCTCCTGGAGAAAAACATGAAAGGGGTCATGGTTTCAGAGCTGATGGATTTTCAATTGTTCAAAGAGAAGCTC